CTCTCTCTCTCTCTCTCTCTCTCTCTCTCTCTCTCTCTCTCTCAAATAAATAAAAATAAAAAAATTTTTAAAAATATTTCCTGTGCACTTACTATCCTTCCAAAATTTGCCTAAATGAGGACAGGAATTACAGAAAATATTGCTACTTCAGTGTTCTCTGAAATATCAGGTAGGCAAATGTTGGAGGAATATAGATATTTAAATGTTCTTTCAAGTACTAGAGAGACAAATGTTAAGAGATACACAGATCATAGCAGTGATTTCCATCTCTTTAAAATCAGAATAGAGCTCCTAATTATCTTATGAGTGTCAAGAAGTTTTTGCAAACAAAAATTAATATAAATGTCCTGAAGCTTTAGAAGTATATCTGTATAGCATTTGTCATCCAAGGTATTTCAAAAATTTAGTTGTCACAGTCTTCAAAAATCTACACCAGGTAGGAATTTCCTAAGTAATTTGTCCGTAGATGTCATAGGCACCAAAAGCAGACATGCAGCGACTTTCTAGTTTTCCAGGTTCTTCTGGAGCTTCCTGGCATTGTGTCATCTCTATGTAGTGTACCTTCGAACTGGTTTCTCCACTTGGGGCTGATTTTGAGCTTTTAGCACATACTTGAAGCCTGCTTGCCTCTTTGCTATGTGTGTGCTTTTACTGAAAGCCTAGGACTTTCTTCTCAGCCTCCATAAAATAGACTTAGGGAAGTTGACCCTCTCTGACATCTGAGAAGTTTATAGAAAAACTTTTCCCTGTTTACATCCGTGCTGTATCTGTGTGGTTGCAAATTCTGTTTCAAATACAGAAACTGTCATTTTGGGAGGAAATAGTTGTTTTTATTTAGGGAAACCCCAAAAGGACCAACCATTCCCAGGGGAAAGCAGCAAACCTGCGTAGAGAATTCAACCTGCTAGTCCTCTGTGAAGTCTTCTATGTTGATGTTCAAAGACAGGACTGAGAATCTTTAATCCATGAAGCAGTTGAAGAGCATTTATTTTTATGTGCAAGCCTTTAAGACAAGAATAAACCAACAGTGGAATGTTTGGCAATCCCAAGAGCTTCAAATTAAGAAAATATAATGCAAAACATTTTTGTACTGTTCATGACTAGCCCTAAAGAACATTAGCTCTCCTTACAAGTCCTTCAAAAGAAATATTAATGGTTAGAGGCTATCTGGCAAAGCAAAAGTAATAACTAAAGGAGACTGAAGCTTAGAGGTACTACCATGCTACACTGGTTACTTAGTGATAATTATAATCAGCAGTTTGGAGCCCTATCTAAGTTTTTATATTACTTTTTAATCTTTAAAGGATAACAAGTTAATTCTTTTATATTTGACACAGTTTCTTTTATCTATTTCATGCAATATATACAACTTTCATTTTGTTTTCAAAAAACAGGAGTGAGAAATTTGGTACTGCTAAGTAAGATTAAAGTTGAAATGACAGAGACAGTATGGATATAGCATTGGTAAATTTTTGTAGGTATTTGTAAATATTAGCATTTCAGTATAGTTGTACTCAGTTCTTTATTTTATTAAGCTTCTTTCTGGGTATTGTGTGTATAACAAACTGCTTTAAAATTAATATATTTTATGTATTATTATTATTTGGTTTATCTCTCTATATATAATATTTTAATAAAGAATAAGGCTCTTTAGTATAGTCTTGACCATGAAGGTGTGACAGTTTTTTAAAATTAGATACTTCAAGCTATTGCTTTTGACTACCTTGCTCTCAGAAAGAAAAAAGGAAAATGCTTGTGAGACGTTGTCTTCTCTCTTTATTGGACTATATTGGGCTATTTTGCTGAATTCAATCACCTACAGTATTTGAACTGGCATCAGGTATGAAAAGGTCCTTTAAAGACTTCTCCAAATATAGCTTCTCTAACAGCAGTGGAACACCCATTTCTGACAAAACAAAACAAAAAGGGGGATATAAATAAAAGACCTTTTTTTTTTCCTTTAGGGAAGGGTCTACAGGGTGTTCAGGGTCTCACTACTAGATCAGACTCTTAGTGATTCTCCTGTTTACAGCCTCCCAAAAGCTGAGATTACAAGCGTTCATCACCACGCCCAGTTTCAATCACCACCTACCTCAGCATGCCCCAGGGGTAGGGCCAGCACAGCAGGCCTGAGGATCAAACACCAGACCCCTGTAAAGTACCATTTTGTAGTGAAGGAAAAAAAAAATATATATATATATACAAGATAATTAGGATAGATATACAGCTGCTTTCTCTTAGTTCAATGAGAAGAAAGGCTTATATTAATATTGTTTTCACAAGATATCATGTCTGCATCTTGTCCTCTGGATAACTACTATGAAGACAACAATATCCGATGTATTAATTATTGTAACTGTCCTACTAACCTGTTTTGAAATTCTTTCATTGCTATTTTATCTTGTTTCTCATTAAAATGAATAAAAAATTTTTAAATAAATTAGAATTAAAACAAAAGATTACAATCTCTCTAATAAATATGGATGCAAAAATCCTCAGTAAAATACTAGCAAACAGAATGCAGCAAACCATCAAAAACTTTATACATCGTGGCCAAGTGGGATTCATTCCAGGAATGCAGGGATGGTTCAACATACACAAATCTATAAATTTCATACACTATATCAATAAAATCAAGAGCAAAAGCTACATGTTCATCTCAGTAGATGCAGAAAAAGCTTTGGACAATGTCTTCTTTTTTGAAGTCTTACTTAATGCTAACATGCTTGGTAGATTTTCCCAGAAGAAAATAATGTAAGTTTAATATACTTTACCTTCTGTGGATATGGAGGTTTAATGGTACGAATACTTCATGAAGGAGATTCAGGTGTTCGAGGACAATTTTATACTTTAACTATTGAAGCTTTAGCAAACTTTGCAGCAGCCAAATGGAAGATGACTATTTGAAAGGAAATGGAAATATCTATGAGACTATAAGTGATAGGATGAAGGTGAGTTCCTTTAGGAGGTTTTCCATATTTTAAAAGTTATCATTGCCAGCCTGACCCATTCTCCTCAAAATTTCTTTTTTCACAGAGTATGAGCTGTCTTAGATATGCCAGAATTTACTCTCTCCTTTTTATGTCTGAAGAAGGATTTAACTGCATTATTTCTTTCTTTCTTTCTTTCTTTCTTTCTTTCTTTCTTTCTTTCTTTCTTTTTTTTTTTTTTTTTGGCAGAACCAGGGATTGAACTCAGGCCCTTGCACTTGCCAGGGAAATGCTTATTCTATTGCGCCATCTCCCCGGCCCCACATTATTTTTCTATCACAAAAACAAGTTTTATTCAAGGTACTGGATAGAGACTCCCAAAAGCTTGGAACGATAAAACAGGACTTACTTTGAAGAACATTTTCTAATTATTCTGTTAAAATTCACATCATGTCATTTTCTAATGTAAATTATTTTAAAGGCATATTTGATAGATTATTTGTAAAACTTCATAAAGGTTAAAGGCAATTTTCACAGTATAATCTCCTGCCTGTCCCAGAATGGTCTTGTATTGCTTTTCCCTTCTTCCCTTCCTCCTTTTTTCCCTCCCTCCTTCCCTTTCTCCTTTCTTCTGCTTTCTCATTGTTTCCTTTTATTTTTCTTTTGCTATGTTGTGCTATGCAGTTGGCTATGTAGTTGATTTTTTTTCTCTTTGTAGTTTCTGATTTTATCTGGATATTAGCATCAAATTTTCTGAAATTGATTAAAAAATTGATGTTCAAACTTTTTTTCAGTCAGGTGTTTTCATAGGCAGTACAGCTAAATACTAGTTCCATGGACACTAATGAAAAAGGTTAACGTTCTGTATATACTTTATGAAAGGTACTATATTCTTTCCAGTGTTAATATGATTCATTTTGATTTTTGCTGCAAGAATATTATGAGGACGTTCTTAAGTTCATGTTGAGTGCTTACCCAGAGTCCTTGTGCTTATTGGAGTTGATGTCCAGGCCAGAAGTTGTTGCCACCTCTTACACTATGTAACCACTCTCCCTGTTCTCTACTGTGAGAAAGGTTTCAAATACTGGCTCTGATTTTTTGCTTGCCTTTTTTTTTCTTTTTTTAATTAATGAGTCTTTTTTCCACAGTTTCATGTGAAACTGCTCAGAAGAATATTGCGGTGGTTAGATCTTTACTTTCATTGAGGTGGTCATCTTTGATGTATAGATATGCATAAAAATTAGTTTGGTTTTATTGTTGAGAAAGAGGAGTGGTACGCTGATGTCTCAAGGGGCAGTGTGGTTTACAGCACAAAGTTGTTCTTACCTCCAAAGTGATGCCATAATTTCACTCATAGCCATGCCCATATTGCTTTGGGTATAACCTCAGTTGACTCAATTTAGATTCCTCAAATTGACATTTCAAATAAAGTGCTTTTATAGTTTGTGAAAACTGAAATGGTAATATCTACGGCATTTTGCATAAACTCTATTGATCATCCAGCTTAAATGGATTTATTTTCATATACAGCAAATTTATCTTAAAACCTAATACATGTGTTTAAAAAAGTTTAAAACCTGTTCTGATTAACCACTAACATTGAAATGGAAGACAGACTATAGCAAGCAGGGAGATAGACATTTGGGAAATAGGCAGGAGATCTGGGAATGTTATGAAACAGTAGGAGGAGGGAAGAGGAACGAAAAGGATCAAGGGGACATATGGTTATTTCCCAGTTTCTCATCATAAATATTATTGTGTAACAAATACATACCAATAGAAATGTTTAAAGGAAGGATTTCTGCTTATACAATTATGAAATTCTAGCAAATACTCTTACAATGAATTGTTTAAAATGTTAACTTGATTCTAACAAAACAAGCTGTAGTAAATTTTATCATTTAGGTAAGCCTTTTGTGAATCAGCCTACTTAGGGGAACCTTTTGTACTTAAGAATAGTTGAGATCCTTGTGTTCGTGAGCATGATGATTGGGGTTGATACCACTGTGGGGAATGTGCTTCCCTCCAACTGTGTTAGGACCTCAGCACATACAATCAGTCTGGTGTGGTGCTATGTACTGCAGGGGTGAGGGGTATCAAATCATGGTTTGCCTCAGAAATCTAATCTTGATTTTTTGTTCTTTTCAATAATTACGTAAAAACAGTGGAACATATGCAAGAATATCAGTCACAAAATTGCTTGTAATACCAAGATTACAAATAGCCATGAGGTCTGTCATCAGAAAAGTGATTGAGTAAGTGATGATAGACCTTTGTAAAAGGAATATGTTGCAATCGTAACAGAATTGTGTAAATTCATGACTGGATAAAAGAAGTTTAAAACAAATCATTACATAAAAAATAATGTATAGAGTAGTTTGAATATCCTTATTTTAAATGAATGCTTGTAGGTACACATTCAGTCTATCCATAAGTGTATAGACACTTGTAAGTCCCTCTTATAACATGTGCGTAGGCTCCCTTCAAAGCTCATTTGTTTTCATTGTTGCTACTACCATTTGTGTTAACCATTCACTAATCTGTATCTTCACTTACAAAGGCCTGTTAGAATTAGAGAGTTGAATTTACCAAAGTAAATTCCTTCATATCTTACAGTTTGGATCATGCTAAATGTTATGACACAAACCATCCATGCTTCCATAAAAATTTAATGTCTAACTAATATATATCAGTATTATGTAATCTTTAATATACCTGAGTCTGAGAAATGAAATAGAAAAACGTTGGACATTTTCAATATCAAAATTTGCTTAGAATTTTCCATGAAATACTCTGGAGTGCTCTCATTGATGGGAATGCCATATCTAAAAACCATTTATACAGTGTTTAATAGCTTCAGTATTTTATTAATTTATATTTATATGATTGATAATCATACCAGTACTTCTTTTATTAAACCCAGTTCCCAATTTTAAGAGGTTATTACATTATTCAGATTTTTAAAACTTAGTTTAATTTTTAAAGAGAATATAGGTAGTAAAAAAATAGAAATAATACAGAATTTCACTAAACAAAATAGTATGAATTTGACAGTATTTGTTGTATTGTGTATTATCTTTGGCTTAGTTGTTCTGATTACCAGATAAATGGAAAAGGAAAGGAAAGAAGAAAATAAGTTATAAGAAATTAAGAGAATAGGAGCAAAATAAAAAGAACAAAAGAAAAATAAATAGCAAAGAAAAATGACCAAAAAAGAAGACAAAAGAAAAAGCTTTAGTTGCTCCTTTCCCTAACTTGCCATCTTTATCTTTTGTAATCATTCTTGATTTGAAGTTGACATTGTCAACTATTCCTATCTTTCTCTAATTTTGGTACCTGTCTCTCTTCTGATTCCAGATGAACTTTAGTAATATTTTCTTAAGATGTGTCAGGTGTGCTGATGGAATTTTAATTGGGATTGCATTAAATCTGTATCACAATTTTGGGAGTGTGGACATTTTCACAGTGTTGGTTCTTTCTGTCCAGGAGTAAAGAATATCTTTCCATTTTCTGAAATTCTGTTTGATCTCTTCCAAGCAGTATAATTTTCACTATATAAATCTTTCACTTTCTTTGTGAGATTGATTCCTAAATATTTCTCTTTTTTGGACATTACTGTGAAGGGTGTGGTTTCCCTAATTTCTCTCTGGGTGTGTTCCTTGTTTGTGTACAAAAATGTTATTGATTTTTTAGTGTTGACTTTGTATCCTGCTGTGCTACTGAATTTGGTGGTTGAATCTATCAATCTCTTGGTCGATTTTTTGGGGTCTTCTATGTGAAGTATCGTATCATCTACAAATAATGATAATTGAACTTTGATGAATTGAGGCATTTACATTGATGGCTATAACTGGTGTGTATTGGCTTATCTTTATCATGTTATTTTATGCTCTAGGTTCTGTCCTTTTTTCCTCTTCAATTACTTGCTCTGCTTGATGGTTCCTTTCTGTAGTTGTCCTTGAAGTTGTACTTGTTTCTGTCTCTTCAGAGAGTATCTGCTAGTACTCTTTTTTGGGTTGGTTTGGTGGTCATGAATTTCTTCAGTTGTTCTTTGTCATGGAAGAATCTTATCTTGCCATTGAATTTAATAGACTGTTTTGCAGGGTACATCAGTCTGGGTTGGAGGTTATTTTCTTTCTGGACCTGAATAGTTCACTCCAAGCTCTTCTTGACTTGATGGTTTGTGTTTAGAAATCTGCTATGATTCTGATGCACTTTCTGTTGTAGTTTATCTTTTTTTTCCAACAACTGTTTTTGTTACTGAATTTCTGGGCTCTTGGTTATTCTGTGTCTAGATATAGGGATATTTTTATTATTTCTTGTTGGAGTTCTGTATGTCTCACTTATTTGTATATCAGATTCTTACACATGGGATATTTTTTGCTACTACTTCTGAAAACTAGTCTTTTTATGTCATTTGTGCTGACTCTTGCCTTTTCATTGATGCCTATTATCTTGTAACTGTTGAATTGTTATTTCCTGGTTCCTTGTTAGTTTTAAGAGACATTTCCTTTCACATTCATTAGCTGCACTGCTGTCTTCGAGGTCTGAAAGTCTATCTTCAGTTTCATTGAAGTGGTTTTGCGAGCTTTCAGTGGGATATTTTAACTTCCTAGATACCCATTTGAATCTGTTTCATGCATTCTAATTCTTTCCTACATTGTTCATTCAATATTTCCATCGGTTTTCTATTGTTCTGCATTTTTATCTATGTATTCTTTAGGTGTGCTGAGCAATTCTTTCATGATTGATGTCTTTTTGTCTTTTTACCTGAGAGATTTGTGTATGTGTGTGTGTTTCATGATTTTTTTAAAGGTAGTCCTGTTTATTTGTGTTGGGGAAGTATCATATCTTATAGGTATACTCTGTGAGTCCTGTTGAAGTACTTATTTTATATACACAAATTTCCACTGGCTCTGCTCCTACAGAAAGGTTTGATCATGCTCATCTTAATCAGGAACAGGATGATGACTAGAATAAAGATACCAGCAGGTCTAGGCAAAGGATATGGTTCCTGAATGTAGGTCAAAGAGACCTGAATAACAGTAGCTCACAGAGCGTGGACACAGCTGTACATTCACAACTGCAGGCTGTTTTGCCTGGCACTGGAGGACAGCTGCAGGTCTTTCTGATCCACCCACTGTGTACTCTAATGTATCTTTATTCCCTCTTGGTCCCTAATAATGAACTACGGAAGGGCATCCATCTACCTTATCACCAAAAATGAGCTACTCAGTTCAAATTCAGTTTTCTCAACAAATCTCTGCAGGACTGCAGAAAATAACTTTGTCTATTGCACAAAACTTATGGTAAGATTTTCTCTTTCTCAAGAGAATATGTGAGTCAGTACTACCCAATATCGGTTGTTTGAGTGATAAACCAAAACTTTTATATAGGCAAATATTTGTGATCAGTGTTAGGTCATTTTAATCTTAAAGTGGCTAAATTATGAAAATAATTTGTAATTGAATTGTTTGAGTATAACATAGAAATATTTATGGTTATTTATAATTTGGAAAGACTCATTTGCATGTTTTACTTGGATCTTTGCATGTCCTGTGTAAAATTAATCATGCATTTGGACTTACATGTCATTGTTGATTATTTTAATGATCTTTTTTTTTTTTTTTTTTTTTTTTTTTTTTTGTGGAACCGGGGATTGAACTCAGGACCTTGCTTACACTTGCCAGGGAAGCGCTTATTCCACTGAGCCATCTCCCCAGCCCCTGATTATTTTAATAATCTTATAATAGCTTGATGGTAACTTGATGCAGTGGTCAAGCCATATAAAGGAAATAGATTCTGTAGGGCCCCAAAATACAGATGAAATAATTTTACAAGCATATTCAGAACAGTTAATATCAAAGAAGTTTAAGACTTCACCACCTGATTTCAGAAGAGATTTTCCTTTTTTGCTGAGAAGAAATATAAGTTGAAATTTTCTGTTTCCTTTTTGTTTTGATAGAAATTATAACATTTTCTAAGACCACAATAAGTAAAGTAATAACACATACTTGAGGAGATAGAACGATGAGGTATAAAGCTCAAAACCCAACCCAAGTTTATATAATTTAATAAATACATTTTACTTTTAAATCTAATATTGGAATAAATAAAAAATGAAAACTGTCATTTAATATCATTAAATTTCATACAGCTTGAAAATTTAAATTAAAAATTTCAAAAGAAATATGGATTTAATGTTCATACAGTCTCTGATAAAGAAGAAATGCTTTGAATAGAATGTCAAAATTAAACTTTAAGGTAGATTGAATTAGCTACATATTGTAACTACATATTTTAAAAATTCATAAATAAGAATTAAGTAAAAATAATGGATTAATTTAGAAATTATCTATACTTTATTGAATTATGTGGTGTTCATAGATGAGGAACATAGGTAGAATCTACTCTAAAGTAATTCTGTAACCATGAATTTGTACTTTCTTCATGATACAGATTTTGCATTAACAAAACATAACATGGCTGTAGTTTGTGTCTGACTGCCCACCAGCTGGAACCACTGACTGGTTCTATGCATGACTATTCCATTCAGCAGCTTTTTAATAATTTTATTAGTAAAAGGCTGATAAAAAACAATTACACCAGTTTTTGCTAACAGTGGTACAAGCCATCTGATGTCAGTCGTGTACATGTCCACCAACAGTTCAAGCCAACAAGAATATGTTAAATAATTTGAATAGCTTAAACATTCTGTTTTAATGTTCTTGAGTTTCAATATATTTTAAAACAGAAATACTAGTAGATTTGAGAACCTTCAAATCATAATTGTAAATCCAATTCCACAGCTACCAGGAGACCATGGAAGCAATAGCTGTTAAGAGTGCAAGGCAGGGAAGAAGACGATAGAAATTAAAGAATATAACAGGAATATTTGATATCTTTAATTCAGTAGAATATAAATTCCAAGATGATAGTTTGTTGACATTTTGTCTGTCACATACAGGCATGTCTTAGTTACATTTTACTAGTTGCTGGGTCAAATACCCGACACCCAAAATGAAGGAAGGAAGGAAAGGTTTATTTAGCTCACAGTTACTGGAGGTTTCAGCCCATATTTAGCTGGCTCCAACATAGAGAGTGGCACAAGGCAGAGAACAGCCTTTCAAGGCAGCAGATGAGAGCAAGAATATGCAAGGAGGAGTAGCAGCAGCTCAAGCAGCTAACTTCTCTTTCCTCCTTGCACTGAAATGCAAATTACCTGCCCCAGGGCAGATGCAGCATCCACACCTGCAATATTCAATCACAAACTCCAGAAGCCGCCCCAAGACTGCTTGAGGCTTTGGGGGGGACAACAATGTACAAACCATAACAAAGCATTTAATAATTTTTAATATGGACCAGTGGGCTTCTCTGTTTTTTATTGTATTGATATCATGTTTCTGTTTACAGTCTTTTCAGTACTTACAATTATTTGCTTAGGACAAATTTCTAGAAATAGTCTTACTTGATGAAAGGATAAGACCATAATTTTGACTCCTGATACAAATTTCCAGTAGAGTTTATTTAATTGCAAACGTATAATTAATGTCAGTTATTTCATTGATATATGAACTACACTTTCTGTGGCCGAGAAGTCCTAGTACAGTGCTTCCTAGATATTTCATTCATTTGAAAATTTTCACTGTAAGTTTGAATCCTGATAAATAATATATTCGTACATGTACAAAAAGGCAGTTCATTTTGATTAAAGGAAATTGACAGCAAAAATAATGTGTCATTTTATTACTCAATACCGAGAAAACAGGGAGATAATGACTGGTATTAATTACTAAAAGTGTTTAAACATGCCAGTTAAGTAAGAAACAAGGAAATGTCTAGGGGAATACTGAAGACAGGCCTATTATCTCCTCTCTTTGCCTTTTTTGGAGGGGGCTTAGGTTTTTAATTCATTTATTCTAGAATTTATGAACATTTTCTAACTTTTTAATTTTTAGTTTTTAATAGGAGAAATTATTAAAGTGCCAATGTATACTTTATCCTGGCATATTTGAATATGTAAGAATTATTTAAATGCTGTCATATTTATATTTATACATCCTTTTAAATTGCATTGTTGACTGTCAATAAAAACCATTGTCTTCTGGCTTGTTATAGTCAGGATCTTCTAGTGTTCTTGTAGCTCAGCTTTTCCTGACTGAAAGTACCTTACTCATTTCACAGAAACTGGCCGCTAGCATTCCCTGTCCTCAATTCACAAGTCCCAGACCTGCTAATTAGCTGGATTCATACAGATAACCTACAGGTCCCTACAAGAATAGTCTATTGATTGTCTATGAGGCAGACTTAATTTTGACATACAATTTTGGAGGTAGACATCTCAGGCTTCTTTCCAGGGTCTAGACTTTTTTATACCTGTCTATATGTTAACAGACTCTGTGTTCTAGTACATGATTGCTTATACTGAAACCCATTGATTAAATAATTAGATACCTTGCCTGACTTCTAAGTATGTCTGCTAATTATTACCATTCCTAAACAATGTTTTAAAAAAGCCTAATGGTTGAAAAGTTATCGTGGCCTTGAAGTTGTAACCTTCCTTCCTCAGTATAGTTCCCTTTAAGAAGAAATTCAACAGAAAATTTAATATTAAATTCAGGACCTTGGCTACTTGAGCACAGTGGGAATTGGGCAAGAAAGGAACATGTGACCATGTGGGGACACAGATGGCTCCTTTCATGGTCTGGTACTTTCGCCACAAGACCCAGAGTGGTAGGAGTGTTAGTTTACATTTATTGCTCTTCTTCAACTACATCTTATTTTATGAGTTTTTTTTTAATGTATGTTACCCTTCAGAGTAAAATACTTTAGTAAGTGTTTGAGAGATACACTATAGCGGTAGATTGTGGCATAAATTTTGAAGATGCTTGTTTGTGAAGTATTAATGTTAAAATAATTTCCTAGAAGTTCACAGAATCCCAAAAGAGCACAGATTTTGGGGTTTATATTGGCATTTTTCCTATTCTGTTTAGCAAAGAATTAATATGCATTTCCCTGTGTATAAAATAACAAGACAAAACTAAAAGACAGAAGTCAAAAGATTCCATATACTTAATGAGGCCCATCAATATTTTTGTGCTTGGAGAATGTTTTACTAGAGTACATTGGGAATTTCAAAAAAAACATAGAAAGCCATATGAATGTTTCCAAATGATTTTAAAATTTCATCAATTTAATACATTAAAAATTCCATGTAAGCCTAGCACGGTGGCACACACCAGTAATCCCAGCACTCGGGGGCTGAGGCAGGAGGATCACTGTGAGCTTGAGGCCAGCCTGGGCTACATAGTGAATCCAGGATAGCTTGAACTACGTAGCAAAACTGTCTAAAAAATGTGTAAAAGTTTGACATTCTATTGAAAGTACATGCAAGACAATCAGAAATATTTGATTGAAGTTATAGGAGAGTGTCTCAAGAGTATCCTTGCCAATTTAACCATGCAATGAAAGCTAAAGAAAAAAAATATAAGGTATGTCATGAGATACTCCTTCACAGTTAATACCCAAATTGTGCTCAAGGCTTAAGTATCTACACAAGAAACAGAGAAATTTTCTGTGGTCTCTCATTTTCATTTCGAGTCTATTTTTATTTTTATTCCTATTTTACATCTGTTCTTCCTCTGACCACAGTAATTTTTTGAAATTGCAAGGAAAAAAAAATAAACTTTTGCTAACCCCTTTGTAGAAGTTTGAAATAGAAATTAAACTGTTTTTCCATCCTAACTGGTTCTCTTGTTTTCCCTCTGGCATATGGCTTCAATTTCAAAAGAACAACCTCTATTTAAATACTAATCTTTCATAAAAATGTATGTCTTTTGTACACATATTACAATAATATAAATGTATGCTAGAACATAGATAAAATCACAATTATTCATTTTTTATTATGCTTGGTTTGTTTCAGTTGCCTGGATTTAACAATCTTTCTGAATAAGATTTATAAAATAAAACATAGACAGCTCTATGAAAGTTATAGATTTTTTTCTTTAACAGCACATCTAACAGCCTGCATGTATCATTTGGCGTTTTCAGTTTTCAAGTGAATCTTAACTCTGTTAAATCTTGTGTATCTTGCTCTGTGGCATGCTGTGCTAAGTGTCATTGCCTGTGAGCTCTCAGAGTTATGAGAAACATTGATAAGGTTTTTAAATCAAGTATGTGCCTGTTAAATTTGTCAATATGCTAAAATAAATTGGTTTGTGATAAAGCCAAGATTCTATTAATTAAAAGATAATGCAAGAAAACATGTTGTTTTGTTATGATGATTTGAAAAGCCAGATGTCAACAGTTATTTCATTCCTAGGAGATTGTATTGGGAAATGAACTGAGAACCACTTATATTTTTATGATGCAACTTTCTTTCTTCTTGATAGGAGCCATAAAAAGTCATATAATGCAGTAGACCTGAGATAATTGCCCCAATTTAAAAAAAAAATAGGTGCATAATGAAGACTTTCACAAAGGAAGTGGAGTAAAGTCCTAGTAAAGGCTAGTTTTCAGGGGCCGGGGAGATAGCTCAGTAGAATAGGCACTTACTTGTCAAGAGCAAGGGCTTGAGTTCAATCCCCAGGTCCACCAAAAAAAATAAAATTAAAAAGGGTAGTTTTCAGAGAAACCACCTGTTACATAAACACATCCTCAGCAATCTTTATAACAATGATGTTATAATTTGTATTTGAGTTGGGAAACTAATAACTACACCTATAATGCTTTACCTTAACCTGAAGTCTTACAGCACTGCATGTTACACAGTTAAACATGTTAATTTTTGAACATCTGAATAACTATAACAGGTGATAAGCCATATTGTTGCTATATTTGCCATCTGTCAGAAACAAAAGCAAAGATAAAAATCTCATTGAATCACAAAGATTAGCTTTGCTTAATGTACCTTTTATAGAGATACATCTTTCTGGGAAAAAATGTCATACTTTTGTTAAAAATCTTTGTTACTTCATTACAGATGGGGAACTCAAGGAGACTTCACTACCACCCACCCTCGGCCTGTGGTCAAAGTAAAGCTCTTCACAGAAAGCACTGGGGTGCTGGCCTTGGAGGACAAGGAGCTGGGAAAGGTGAGCCGCGGTCGGCCTGTGTGTCTCACAAGTACAGTGTTCATTTCTTTTGCTTCGGAGGTGAGGAGAAGCAAACAGAAAGAGTCTGTGAACTCTGCACTCATAAATTACATAGAATCATTCATTTATAATTTCCCATGGCCCCACCTTACCACTCCAGTGTATTAAGCATAAGTGACTCTAACATGCAAAGGATCTTCGTGGGGCTTGAGTGTGTAAAGAATACACAAAGCTCCTCCTCACCAAGGCAATCATTCCTACATATGTGCTGCTCTAAACACTGAATGTGAGCGGGGCCAGGTTACTTGGCTTCCTGGTGAAGGTGAATTCTCCTTTAACACGTTTCTCCCCAGGAGTCAGAAGGGTCATCTTCATAGATGAAGTTAACTGTTCTTTATGATAATTGAGATTAACCTCATTACACAAGGACTCTGAAGGGCTTTCTTCTCACTCATCTCTTCTGTTTTCCTGTGAGAAGTTCTTTCTCACCTACATAGTAATATTATATTAATTTTTCCTTATGTCAGCACAAATGTATTCTATGAGGTATGATCAAAAATATAATGAATATTTAAATTTTAATAAAGACACGTTATCTTTACTCCCCCTCAAAGTAGTCATCCTCTCTTTGAACATATGTATCTCATTGTTCTTGCCACTGTCCAAAGCAGCTCTGAAAGTCCTCTGTAATGTCTTGAGTTGTGCTATTCTAGAAGCCTTGGTGTCCTCAGTTGATTCAGACCTTTACTTTCATGGTCATTTTGACATTGGAAAAAAGAGAGAAGTCCCATGGTGCTGGATCCAGTGCATGTGGTGGGTGAGGACATATTGTCATGTTTTTATGAGCCTGACTCTATGGGATGGCACTGAGCACCAGCATTCATGGTAATTTTTTTTAATCGTATTTCATTGGCAGTAAAAGCATTACCTTTTGGTAGATTAGTGATCTAATTGGTGTGTGTCGAAGTGGAAGTGTATCTGCCGTCTTATTTGTGAAATACTGTAGAAGCATTCCAAGAGGTAGGCTGTGAAACTGCTTTTGGCAGTGTGACTCTATCTCACCCAGATCTGAGATCTGTATTCATAGATGAGTTACAGCAAATAACCCCTTTAGATGCCTTTAAAAATTCTGTAATGATGTATAGCTTTCACATTGCTAGACACTAATGGATTATGGAAACACTGCATATTGGAAGGGTTTTTTCCTTAAAGTTAAAAACTCTACTCACTTCAGTCCCTTTTTGTTTTTTAACTTATATACTTGTGAATTTTTTCCTAGGAGTTTTGTGTATCTGCACTCAAAGTTTAGATTTCCTCTTTTGTTTCCTTGGTATATGTACTTCTTAATACCTAAGAGTTATGGTATGCTGTTTGAACTTTTGTATTCACACACTTTATTCATACAATAAAGGTGTATATTTAGCATAGTATCACAGACAAATCTTAGAAACAGCATATGGCTTTTATGAATGCATGAATCAGAGTTTTTCATTGAAACAATCATTGATTTTATCTTATGTTTCTATTATAACTTTTTCAATATCAAAGAGAAGCCATTTTAAATTTCATGCTATGTGTAATCCTTGAAGTCATTTTAACTTATTTTCTCAGCTGGCCAAATAATAAAGCAATTTATAAATTGGAGATCTGAGTGATATGTTTTCTATGCACCTACATCTCTTAAGAAAGGTCTTACACTCTCTTATCTCCTCCAGAGTTTCCCAGGGGTAGTACTATTGATATTTTGAGCAAAGGGCTGCTTTGTTATGCTGTCTTGTTTTTTGATACTTAGTGACAGCTGGGACCTCTAGTCAGTAGATTCCCATAGTGTCCTCCAGCTCCATCTCCCAGTCAAAATAATAAAAACTGCCTCTAGATGTTGCCAGTTGTTTCCTGGAAGAGAGGGTCATATACAAAATCACCCCTTTTTGAGAATTATTGATTTGTACAATGACTTCAAATAGATTTCAAGATTATAAACATTATTTACACTTGGTTTAAATGTGTACAAGTTCTCTTTATATTAACAGTTCTTCTGTATATATTAAAATATTGAGAAATGTAAAGCTTAATTATGAAAAGACATTACTAAAAATGATTTGATATGATATTTGTTGTGGGTAATAGAACTGATAGGTTACTTCTAGGATTATTATATATATATATATATATATATATATATTATAGGACAGATAAGTAAACAGATTGATTCTGTGGGTAGTGACTAAATCTATGATTAAAATGAATACATCTTAATGTATTTATTAAGTAGGAAGTGATCTTAACTCAGAAGTGATAATACACAGAATCTTGATTGCTAAAATCTGTTATTATGAAAAGGAACCAGTGCTGATTACAGGTCTGGGGCAGGGGAATATGTATCAGTACCACCAATAACAAACTCAAACTTTAAGACCAATATTTTTTTGTCATTGCTTTCTTTTCATTGAATATGTCCCTAAGTTTCTGACTACTGCACTGAGAAGTAACCAATGCAACAGAAGGAAAAAATAATGCATCTGAAGAGTGAAAGTCATTGAGGAAGTTGAGCTATACTCATTAGCAAATGTATACTGTATCTGCCAGACCTTGGAGGACACCCTCCACTATACCCTAAGTGGCTGTATGATCTCAGGCTATGTGCTCTGGAAATCTCAGACCCTTTGTCCATAAACTGAGTGCCCTGAAGTGAAATGAAATGAATGTGCTCGGTAATCACTTCTAGCTCAACTTTTTTTGTCATTTTGCTGGATCACTAGTCCCTACTAATGCTTACTCTCCAAACATAGCCCTGGCTGTTCCTCATTGTGGACGCTGGTGATAACCTGGTCTTTGGTATGTAAGAATCCAAATGGCTAAGACCCCTCAGCAACTGCAAGAGTGAGGATTGAGGCTCAGGCTTTTGGACCCCAGAGTTTCTTCCCTACCTGTTAATAAATGATTGGACCTGAGAGAATAAAGACATTTGAAAGTGACTTACAGATTTTGCTAGGAAACAATTTAGTGACTTACGATGGGGATCATGTATTATTTAAAGGCATTTTAATCTATAGTCATTTATATATCACATATACCTTTATCATTTTGTACAATGATTTCAACCATGTTAGGGAAACTTATGGCTGCTAATTTATTATCCTGAATGAGAAACTTTATATTTTTGGTAGGGGACTTGGGAGCTAGCTCAGCAGCCTAAGCGCCTGCCTGGCAAGTGTGAGGACCCGGGGTCTATCCCCTTTACCCAGGGCACACTGTGCTGCCCAGGCACAGTGGTACACGCTTGTTATCCCAGTGCTAAGGAGGCTGAGACAGGAGGATTACTACGAGTCCAAGCTGCCCTGTACCAAATAAATAAATAAAAGATTTTTTAAAACTATGTTTTGATAGTTATTTAATGTACTGAGTTACGTTCTTGGCTACAATATATATTGTGGAGGTTTACCGTTGTCATTATCAGCATTGGAAATGTTCCCAGAAAAACAAAGCCAAACAAAATAAACAAACAAGAAAGCATTCATTCTCACCATTATTATGGCGGAAGATCCTGAAAAAGGCTAGTTCTGGGACCTAGAGTGTTACCGGTCTGGACTGGGCCCAAGACAAATACTTCAGCACCTTCCTGGGCCTTCTTGTGTGTGTTTGTGTTGATAGCCCCGTGCACACAGTACCTTTGGCCCTAGTGTGCAGCCAGGGTCAAGATCCTCGTGACTGAGAGGGAGAAGCAGCTCAAATCCATGGCAGCGTGTAGTGCAGGGAGATGAGGGCTCGGACTGCAGACACACTGGGCAGTGGCAGTTACGTCTTTGGCATTGACCTCATGTGCAGATTGGGTCTGTGGATGGCAGATGCAAGCACCTATTTTAGGAAATGGAGGTGGCATATGGAGATTCTTCACCTGAATTGATAGCCAACATGCCACCAGGTGCTAAGAACATACCTAGAGGCAGGACGGGGATTTTTGTGAGAAAACAGAAGTATTCATAGTAGCTACAGAGCTGACCCGTCAAGCTCCCAGAGGTGTAGTTCATCTTAGGATGACTGTGTCCAGGAAATCCTAAAACACAAGGACTACCTCATAGACCCGCTTGAAAATCTAGTATTTCTGTGGAACATCTACGAGCAGGTGGTACAGTTTCTACTGAATCTTTCAAAAGGCATTATTATTTATTACACCTGGGGGTGATCATTTAACCTGATGAATGATGTTCTTGAATACAAAACTAAGTATATGGAGATTTAATAAAAGATTACTTCATTTTAAAAGTATCATTACAAAGCCATTCTTTCAAAGAGCTGTTAGGAAAAAAAGCCACAACATTATTCATAAACTGAGTGCAGGGCTTTGATTTTGGATCATCAGTGTATACAGGAGGATGCTGACATGTCTACCTCCATGGGACGGAATAGCTGCGAATCTGTTTTCCTACTTAGTGTGAAAGACTCAGAACATCTGCTTTGCTTGTTTTTATTATGTGGTACAGGGTACCACTACACAGCTTACACTCGCAGCGATCCTCCTAGTTTCAACCTCCCCAGCAATAGGATTGCAGGCGTGCGCCAACATGCGGGGTCTTGGTGGCTGGCTCAGTGCATCTGGGGACAGGGCCGGTGCTGCATGTGGTGCTGGGGTCGAACCCTATTCCCTGCACTTGCCTAAGCAGGAGCTTAGTCCCCTGAGCTATCTTGCAGGCCCTGCTTTTCTAATTGGATTAGATAATATTCATCATAGCAAAAAGTTTGCTGGAAATGGCTGTGACTCATCCAGATGGCTGACACTGACAAAAGATCCACAAGTTGCGGTACATGGTTCCAGGGTAAATCCTGAAGGGGTTTTGATACATTTTGAAAGCCATAATATTCTTGAAATAAATATTTCATTTTATGTGTATCATGTTTTGTTCTTTTGGTTTTAAAATTCTATATTTTTGTGTGACATTTCTCAAAATGGGGATATTGTACCTAATGTATCAACATGGCATTATGCTTATTTTATCAATGTG